ATGTTGGTGCTTCGTGAGCGGTCTTGGCGCCGCGATTGGGCTGGCTCGGAGTTCTCGTCCTCGTGGGCCGTCTTGGGAGCCTCTGGGGTGGCCTTCGGGCGCCCTTGGACGCACTCTGGGGGCCCCGTCGGGGCGTCCTAGGGCCCCCTTGGGCCTCTCTGGGGCTCTATTGGGCTCTCCTGGGCCGATCTTGCGCGCTTCTTCCGCTTCACGGCGCGATCTGGGAGGGCTATGACGCCAGCTTGGGGTTACGGGAGCCTGAACAGGCCAGGAGGCCAACACACGCCAAAACCGAACGAACACGACGACTTGCGTGTAGTGGGGCCCTCTGTGACGTCTTCTTGATGGCCCTTGGGGGCGTGTCTTCGGCGTCACCCTGCCATGCGAATTCCATGTGAGCGCCGCCCCCCCCCCCGGGGCGGCGCGCGCGCCGAGAAACCTCGCCATGCGCTCCGCTGCGGGCGTTTTGTTGGCCCTGCTGCTCGGGAGACGAGCCGCTGCAAGCTGGCTGCACCGGATGTGCGGTTTGGGCGGGCGCCTCCGAGGAGGACACGCGCAGCACTGGTGCGTCCTTCCGTTCTCCACGCCCCGGGGGCTTCTCCCGGGCAGCCGGCGGCCTCCCGAGCGGCGCTGGGCGCCGTGGTCTGGCCGTCTTGGGGTCCTCTCGGGCTGCACCCGGAGCCTCCGGGGCGGTCTTTGGGGGTGCTCCTGGGCGCCCCCTTGGGGCCTCACTTGGGCGTCCCGAGGCCCTCTTGGGCTGCCTTGGGGCTCTCTCTGGGGCCGTCTCGGGACGCTCCTGGGGGCCTCTTGGGGGCGTCTTTTGGGCGGTCTCGGGGCGTTCGGGGGGAGGGGTCCTCGATCCGTCTTGGGCAGCGGGCAGGCCGAGGACACTGCGTCTGCACTGGGGTAGTTCACCTTGACACGCTATCGCAGCGAAGTGACTAATCACCTGGTATAGCAAGTATACAAGAGGCAACCCAGGACAACTAAGACGAGACCAGCACCCATACCTGCAGTAAGACATCAACCTACATCAACCAAACAACACAAACAACAACTACCTGCCACTGGGATGCCGAACACAACTCCCCTCCAGCCGGTTTCTGGGGTACAGGCCATGCAACCTCCCGAAGGAGGGCCGCCCCAGATCTCAATCTTCGCATTAGTATCGAACTAAGGAATCACATAAGCAGCCTCCCAACGAGCTCGACCCCTTGGGGGCGTGGTGACCCTTTAGGAACGGCGTCGGTAGATTATGCCCAACAATAAAAGTGGTTCTCCGCAGCCAGGCACAAGTGCGTACAAGGAGAATTCACATCACGTCAACTATGAAGTGGGTTGTTGTCATGAAATCCTCTCACAGTAGATCACCGCCCAGGACAAATGGCGGCACACAATTGTAGTATCTTGAACTTCTGCTGAGCACTTGACACAACTGAGCTCCTCATTGTGCTTGTCGTCCCTGAAGTCCCCCACGATATAGCAACGATCCCCAGGCTTCTCAGTACGCTTGTTGTGTTCAGCCACCCCTGCTTTTCAATCCTCTAGCCGCCGTCGCTTGACATCAGACTGATTGCCCCTTGGTCGCCCAGGAATGCATACAAGCCTTGACCACTTGACTCATATGCGCAAGGTCTGCCTCTTCTTTACAGCTGGGACATCTGCATCTAATCTCCAACGTACGGCATGCCCCTTGAAGTGTCTCTCTGTCAATGACTAACCTTCTTTGCTCTAGCGTGAGCTCTCTGCCTTTGAGTCCCTCGATTTCGTTATTTTTCTTTTTCTGTCCAGGTGACGGCAGCTCGGATTGCTTCAACTTTGGTTGTCCTGATCTGGTGGTTGCCCTCGTGTCCATCGCTGATGCTACCACAAGCGGCTGTTGTACCAAGTCGCTGGGCGTGACGTTGTCGCTGAGGTTGGCCTGGAGCTTGGGCACCTGCCAGATAGGTTTGGGCAGCGCTCCTCACTGAGGAACAATATGCAGTCAATTCTTCTCTTCCGTCGTCGCGAGCGCAATGCAATCCATACTTCTCACAGTACATCTGCTGATGCTTAACACATGTAGGCCTGCACTTGAACCCAGCCGCCGCTCGAAGACCAAGTGGAATGAGCTCTCTTAGTTCTTTGAATGTGCTTCGAGGCCTCATCGCGCATTTGCAAAGCTTTCCCACTGTAGCAGCTGCCGTGGAGAGGTACCGGGCCATTCTTTCAATAGTTGCTCCTTGCATGGACTCTTTTGGCGTGACTCGAGGTAGGCCAGTCGCAATAACAACATCCACCGCAATCTCAACCCAGGAGCAAGACAGGGGCGCTATCTCAGTATCGTCCGATCTCCACCTCAACTGTTTGAAATACCAGATGACCGCAGGAACAAGACTCTGTTGATACCCACCACCACTGCTTTGACTCCACCATTTCAGGTATCACTGGTGCAAATGTCCAGGTAGCTTTCGGTACCACTGGGTCCCATATGTATCCGGGAAAGGCTTGCCTGCAGGACCATACGCCTCGAAGCGGCCGAGGGTCCCTCGAGGCACAGGCTTCCGATGCCGAAGCCCCAGTCGAGGTCATACTCGCTACCCCTGGTGCTGTCGTAGTGGGCGTACTTGCTGGTGTTGATGCCGTCGGTGGTGGACCCTTCCTCCGCTTCCATTTCCCCCGTGCTTGTTGACGAGGTGTTTGGAGATGATGCCTGGGCTGGGGGACTAACGTCATTGCCATCCATATCCTGATGAAGCCACGGATCGTATTCCTCATCCCCATCCTTGGTAACCAACTCATATTGCTCGGTCTCGGCGAACTGCATGGCGCGTGCTTGCTCGCATCTTTCATTTTGTCTGCTTCTGTCCAGGGCTGTGATGGCCCCATCTCTCACGGCCAGGATGATGGTGGCAATATGCTGGATCATGTAGCAGAGGTGCTGGTCCTTGAGGTGCTGCTGGCGCACCTCCACTGGTACTTCACGCTGCCTCGCCGCTCGCACTGCTCCAGCATCTGCCTTTTTACTGCGCTCCCATATTGGTGTCGTCCTCTTCAATGTCCACCTCTCGTCGGTGAGCTTTGACCTTCTCGATTCTTAAACTTTCCGCTCCTTTCGCTTTCACTGCTTTCATGATGGCCTCTGACAAGTCACGATGTTGCCTAGGACGTATCTCTTCGTGCCTCAGCGGACTCGGGAACTGGCGCACACAATATTTGTTATCTGTGAGGTGCAACTGCTTGCCCCATGACCATGCCACAAAGTGTCGTAGCGCTGCGCCCCCTCAGGGAGCTGCGAGGTTCAGCCTGTGCCGTTTACTCCGCGCTGCTCCGCCATGCCTCCCAGGAGCAAGCGAAAGGGTGCGCAGTTTGCAGCCCCCCAGGGAGCTGCGAAGTCCCGCCTGGGTCCGTTTACTCTCCTACTCCGCCGTGCCTCCCAAGAGCCCGCGAAGAAGTAGGAGGGAGGAAGAAGTAGAAGGCAATCATGGGGAAACGGGAAGCAGGCAGCAGGAAGCATGAGGCACTCGGGAAGAGGAGGGGGGTGGGAGAAGGAGGTGTGCGATTGCAGTGCTCTACTCAGCACGGGAAACCAACACAGGAGGATGGGGAAACAACAGGTGCCCCCCGCGCGCACGCTGCACTCGGCGGTGGGCACCAGGACCACCAACAACGACGAGGTGTTCATCTTCGGGGGCATCCACTCCGCGATGCCCTACCAGTGCCTGCAGGACGGCTGGATACTGGACGCCTCGTGCATGGAGTGGAAGAAGGTCCACTTCAAGTCGCAGCCCACGGGCAACAAGGGAGCCGCGTCGCGGAGGATGACGGGCCTGATCCAGGAGCGCAACAAGGAGGAGTGGGGCGTCCGACGGAAGCAGTCCTCCGGCAAGCTGCGCGGCTCCAAAGCGCGAGCCACACTGGCCTCCAGCACGAGGGGGAACAGCACCGCGCTCCGTGCGAGCGGCCCGACGAGCAGCATCAGCTTCGCCTCGCTGGCCGGGGCCGCCACCCGCGCCGTGCATGAGAAGCGCGTGTCGCGCGGCGGCTCCATGGTCGGGCTGTCCGCGCTCATGGGCGGGCCTGGTGGGGGGTCTGGCGGCTCCTCGAAGAAGTGGCGTGGCATCCTGCAGAAGAAGATGGGCAGCATGCTCCAGGCGCCGCGCAGTGGAGCCATGAGCATGAAGATGCGGAGGCCCGCGGGGCCAGCGATGGGCGGCGCCAACCTCATGGCGACCAACGAGGAGCAGTTCCACGAGGAGCTCGTTGCCATGGTCTCACAGGCGGTGCGCGATGACTCGGGCCCTGCCAGTGACGTGTTCATGCCGGCACCTCGCTCTAACCACACCTCGTGCCTGCATGAGAACGCAGTTGTCCTGTTCGGTGGGCACGGAGGCTTGGGCTACCAGCGGAAGGCGTTCAACGACACTTGGGTGCTGAACTTGGACAACGCGCGCTGGAACGAGCTGACGTGCCAGGGGACACCTCCGCCTCCCCGCTCTGGGCACACAGCGTTCTGCAAGGACGGGTGCGTGTTCATATTCGGAGGCTGGAACCATGAGTCCCAGTTCAACGACCTGTTCATGCTGGACGTGGAGAACAAGGACTGGAGCGATCTCGATCTGTTGTGGGGAGTGCCCAGGTGGAACTGCTCCTTGCAGCTGGTCGAAGCCATCCCTTCATGGCGCGTCTTCGTATTCGGAGGCACCGCCGACATCGGCGGCGAGGGCAGGAGCGGTGGATTCTTCGACAACAGGATCGGCGTGCTGAACCTCGGAGAGAACTACGAGTGGGAGGACCATCCGCTCGCGATGAATCCCGAAGATCAGCGTCCAATCCCTCGCGAGCACTCGGCGATCTGCTATGACCCGGAGGAGTCGCGCCTGCTCGTCTTTGGTGGCTGGTCCAACAAGTGGCTCGACGACGTGTGGCAGATCAACGTATCGTCCATTGTCGGTCCGCCCTACGCCATACTGAAGGTAGAGCCGCCGTTGGGTCCCGTCACGGGCCAGATGAAAGTCAAGGTGTACGGCGTCGGGTTCCTGGCTACTCACGGCATGGTCAGTGTCGAGTTCGCTGCCGGTAAGTTCAGCGCGAGCACGCAGGGGACCGTCATCACCGACGAGGTCATCGAGTGCCTTACACCATGCGTCGCGAACAGCTTGGGCCCGAAGGAGTGCGTCGTTCGCGTGCAAATTGGCGCGCGCGACCTGACCACCACGACCACGACCTATGCTTTTTTCCTCAACTCAATCGCAGACAAATCCCTTTGCTTCGGCCCTGGTGTCCTCCAGGAGCAGCAGGCGAACCAGGAGACCCGCCTGATCATCCAGCTGCGCAACCAGAACGGCGTGAACCGGACGACGGGGCGCGACGAGTTCGTCATCACTCTGCAGCAGAAGGTTCCGCTGGAGGACGGCAAGGAGACCAGGCGGGACCTGCCGTTCGAGCTACTGGACAAGAACACCGGCCAGTACGAGATGAAGTACATCGCCGAGGAGGGCGACGTGGAAATTCACATCAAGCTGCTGGACGAGAACGGCAAGGCACAGCCTGTCCGCGGTTCGCCCTTCAAGGCGTCCTTCACGTCGTCTGCCAGGAATCGTGCGAACGAGTACTCTGGGCCTCTGGTTACGCAATGGATCTCACACAGTTTGAAGGGCCTGGACGAGTTTTACCAGAATACCAATACAGGTCACCAGACGAAGATTAAGGACGGCGACGTCATGGCCCTGATCAAGGTGATGAACCACATCAAGGACATGTACGATCAAGAGGAGGAGCTGATTCTGCGGCAGGACGAGATCTTCGAGACCCTCGCGCAGCTCGAGAGGGAGGGATTGCCAGGCGAAAAGCAGCTGAAGCAACTGAAGAAAATAGGAGCGAACCTGACGCAGCTCAAGGAGGACATTATCGCCAAGCAGAAGGAGATACAGCCGACGGAGCAGAAGGAGAGCGATTTGTACAGGAAGAAGATAAACGAGTTCGAGACCGAGCTGAAGACCTACCAGTCTGGCTTGCGCAAGGAGGCTTATTATTTTTACAAGAGCGGCCTGGAGCTCGCCACCAAGCGCTTGAACGACGTCACCGCCGATTTAGACAAGCTGCAAGCTCGAATGGACGACCTGTCGTACATCGCCACCAACTTCAATTATGCGGACGCCCTGATCGGCTCGAAGAAGATCATGCAGGCGATGCGCGAGGACGTCGCGAGCATGCGTTCGCTTTGGGAATTCGAGCAGACCAGGATCACGACCACGGAAGAGTTCCTTGTTGTCAGGTGGGGAGTCGTGGTCGCAACTGAGATGGAAGACGAGATCAAGGCGCTATTTAAGAGGTTGAAGGAGGTAAAGGTGGACCGCAAGTGCGACGCCTACCTTGGCGTCCAGGATGTTGTCAAGAAGTGGGTGACATTCCTGCCGCTTGCTGGGGAACTGCGCGACCCCGCGATGCGGCCGAGGCACTGGACACAGTTGATGGAGCTGTGCGGGAAGTCGATCACGGTCACGCCCGACATCCTGCTGCGCGACATGTGGAATTTGGAGCTTCACAAGTTCTCAGACGCCGTCGAGGACACGGCGGACCAGGCGAAGCAGGAGTCGAAGATGGAGGCCACGCTGAAGAAGATCTCCGGCGAGTGGGCAGGCGTAGAGTTCGACTTCGAGCCGCACAAGGGCAACGACGAGATCAAGCTGATGAAGATCACGGACGACAAGTTTGAGACTCTGGAGGAGCATCAGGTTCAAGTTCAGAACATGTTCGCTTCGCGTTTTCTGTCCACGTTCGAGACGGAGGTCGTGTTCTGGCAGAAGACGCTGGCCAACGTGGCCGAGGTCTCCCAGGCGCTGTCGGAAGTCCAGCGCTCGTGGGCCTTCCTCGAGAACTTGTTCATCTACAGCGAGGAGGTGAAGAAGGAACTGCCAGAAGACAGCGACAAGTTCGTCGGCATCGACATGGATGTCAAGGAAATCCTGAAGCAGGGCACCGAGATGACGATCTGCAAGGACTTCTGCAACCAGGGCAACATCTTCCAGCGCCTGGAGAAGACGCAGACGCAGCTCACCATGTGCGAGAAAGCGCTGAACGAGTTCATGGACGGCAAGCGCAGAGCATTCCCCCGCTTCTACTTCATGTCGTCCGCGGACCTGCTGGACGTCCTGAGCAACGGCAACTCGCCTGCGAAGGTGGTGCCCCAGTTCCCCAAGTTCTTCATCGCCATCGACAGCTATCCGTAGGGACTTCGCCCTCTGCCGCGAGCCCCCCTTAATTTTGTATCAGACGATGTTCGGAGGCGACGCTAGGGTCGAATAGCCAAGGGGGGGGGTAATACATGTATCCAAGGGTGCCGATGATCCATGTCTTCGGCGAGGCTCCCCGGCGAACGCGTATAATGCCCGCCCCTTGGCTATTCGCCCCCTTCGTCGTTTCCGAGATGTCAGAGATGCCGTGGACTTGTCGGCGCTGTTTAACGAGTTGTTCCCTTCTAAGAGCGCGAAGTTGGCGTAATTATGCGAAACACTCGGGAGCGCGAACTGGGCTAACTCACAACGGATTCCTGTCTCGCGAGCGCGAATCTGGAGCAGTTTTTCACGTTTCGTGTGTCAACACCAGCCTATTCAGAAACGATGCCCATGATAGGTGACGAGGAGCAGGAGGAAGAGACACGTATGAAGGGCAAGGAGAGGCCGGGGAGGAGGGTCAGAGGAAGGAGGAGGAGGAGGAGGAGGAGGAGGAGGAGGAGGAGGAGGAGGAGGAGGAGGAGGAGGAGGAGGAGGAGGAGGAGGAGGAGGAGGAGGGAGGAGGAGGAGGAGGAGGAGGAGGAGAGGAGGAGGAGGAGGAGGAGGAGGAGGGAGGAGGAGGAGGAGGAGGAGGAGGAGGAGGAGGAGGAGGAGGAGGAGAGGAGGAGGAGGAGGGAGGAGGGAGGAGGAGGAGGAGGAGGAGGGAGGAGGAGGAGGAGGAGGAGAGGAGGAGGAGGAGGAGGAGGAGGAGGAGGAGGAGAGGAGGAGGAGGAGGAGGAGGAGGAGGAGGAGGAGAGGTGAGGAGGAGGAGGAGGAGGAGGAGGAGAGGAGGAGGAGGAGGAGGAGGAGGAGGAGGAGAGGAGGAGGAGGAGGAGGAGGAGGAGAGGAGGAGGGAGGAGAGGAGGAGGAGGAGAGGAGGAGGAGGAGGAGGAGGAGGAGGAGGAGGAGAGGAGGAGGAGGAGGAGGAGGAGGAGGAGGAGGATGAGGAGGAGGAGGAGGAGGAGGAGGAGGGGGAGGAGGCGGACAACGAGGACAATAACTCTTTGCGCCATCTTGGGGTTTTCTTGGGGCACTCTTGGGGTCCTCTTGGGGTTCGGTTTAGGTCCTCTTGGGGCCCTCTTAGGGCTCTTTTGGGAAGCCCTGGGGTCCGTATAGGGAGTATTGGGGCCCTCTCGGGGCCCTCTTGGGGCCCTCCTGGGGTTCTCTTGGGTCCCTCTGGGGGGACCTGTCAGGCCCCTTGGGGCTATCCTGTAGGGCTTCGACCAAAAGAGGGGGTGTTCTCGATTTCCCTCCCCCCCTTCTGGGGCCAGCACGATCGCCTCTTGGGGCGCTCTCGGGGCGCTCTCGGGGCGCTCTCGGGGCGCTCTTCGGCGCTCCTGCGGCTGCTTTGGGGGCCTCCTGGGCTCCTCTTGGGGCTCTCTTGGGCCACCTTGGGGCCATCTTGGGTCCCCAGGAGCCCATCGGACGCGAAAAGGCTAAAAGGCAAACATCATTTATTCTCTTCACGTTTTCTGATACGGATTTTGGCTTCTTGGGGGGGTCCTGAGGAGGCCCCAGGAGCACTCGTAACCGTCTTGTGACGAGGGCCTCTTGGACGTATGTGGGAAGCCATCTTGAGCCTTCTTCGGCTATCTTGAGCCATCTTTCGGCGGCGGGCGCGGGGGGGAAATGAGAAGGGGCGGGACTTCCGAGGCTTCTGAGAAGTTTCTGGACTTCTGAGAGGGCTTCTGAGAAGTTCTGTCCGTGTTCGAAACAGGCCAAGGAAACGCCTCAGAAGCCCCCCCGGACTTCTAAGAGGTCCCGCGGCCTTCTGAGCAGGCCTTCTCCTTCTCATTTCCCCCCCTGGGCTCGTAGCCTAATCTTGGAGGCCACCTTGCAGCATCGGACGCCCTCTCGGAGCCAATCTGGGGCCCTGTTGGGCGCCCTGACCGCTCGCGAGGCCTCCCTACAGAACCTCGGGGGAGGGCAGGGGGAGGGCACCCGTCCCCGAAGGGAAACGAGCTTTGTAAGAGGAGGAGGTGGAGGAGGGAGGGAGGGAGGAGGGAGGGAGGGGGGAGGGAGGAGGGAGGGAGGGAGGGAGGGAGGGAGGGAGGGAGGAGGGAGGGAGGGAGGGAGGGAGGGAGGGAGGGAGGGAGGGAGGGAGGGAGGAGGGAGGGAGGGAGGGAGGAGGAGGAGGAGGAGGAGGAGGAGAGAGGAGGAGGAGGAGGAGGAGGGAGAGGAGGAGGAGGAGGAGTTGGAGGAGGTGTATTAGGAGGAGGAGGAGGAGGAGGAGGAGGAGGAGGAGGAGGAGGAGGAGGAGGAGGTGTATTAGGAGGAGGGAGAGAATCCGATAGACCACACATGCCTGAGGAGCTGCCGGGATTCACAAGAGATTCTGACTTCGAAGGCACGAGCCCGGCGCCGTCTACAAAGGAGTCTGGCCTCGGGGTCGCGAGCTTGGCGTATTTGTTCAGAGGCTTCTGGCCTCGGTGGCGCGACCTTGGCGTAGTTTACGAAGGGATTCTCCGTCCGGGAGCGCGAGTCTGGTGCGACATGCGAAGGATTATTGCCTCGGGGGCGCGAGTCTCATGTGTTCTTGCGTGTCCCAGGGCCTCCCAGAGATTTGGAGCACGCGACCCGGACGCGGTGACGATTCCGGTTTTCGGTGCCCCCCCCTCGCGCGGACAGCCACAGCTCACAGCAGGAGGCAGGACGTGGAATTCTCACGCTGTGGAGACTGGCAAGTGGAGCCGGAGCAGGCAGCGGGAGGCCTCATCCCCGCAGCCTGCTGGACCCACCAGTGGGCCGGCGGATACGCTGGAGTTCCCCGACGGCGAGAAAGCGCGCCCCTCAGCCACGGGCATGGTCGCCTGCGTCGGCAAGGAGTATGTGCCCTTCCCCGAGCCTCTCAAGCTGGAGGGCAAGGTGGAGGTTTACCTCGACCGGTGCATCGACGCGTTCCGCAGCGCCCTCAAGTTCTTTGCCAAGGATCTGATCGCCAAGTACTTCGGCGACGGTTGCGACGCTGACGGGGAGAAGCGTGGCAAGTTCATCGCCGACAGCCAGGCGGCTCAGTGCGCACTGTTGGTGCAGTTGATCACCTGGGTGAAGCTTGTGGAGGACGGGTTCCAGGCCGTGGCCGAGGGTGACGCCAACGGTGTCAAGGACGCGTGGGACAAACAGGCGGCGCTATTGCTCAAGCTAGTCGAACTCACGATGACGAATCTAGACAAGCCGACGCGCCAGAAGGTAATGTGTGCGATCACTCTTGACGCGCACAACCGAGACGTCCAGGCGAAGCTCTACAAGGAGCAGGTCGTCAGCAAGGACGCATTTCAGTGGCAGAGCATGCTGAAGTGCTACTGGAGAGAGGAGCTCGACGATGCAAACATGGAGATCTGCGACGCCAAGCTGCCCTACGGGTACGAATACCTTGGCAATGGACCTCGCCTGGTTGTGACCCCGTTGACCGACCGTATCTACGTCACTGCCACCCAGGCCCTCCACCTCTGCATGGGCTGCGCTCCCGCAGGCCCCGCTGGCACCGGTAAAACAGAGAGCACGAAGGACTTGGCAAACGGTGTGGCCAAGGCTTGCTACGTCATCAATGCAGCACCCGAGATGGACTATGTCTCGATCGGCAACATCTTCAAAGGGCTCAGCGCCAGTGGATCCTGGGGGTGCTTCGACGAGTTTAATCGCCTCGTGCCCGAGGTCCTCTCCGTGTGCACTGTCCAGTTCAAGTCTGTGTGCGATGCGATAAAATCGAAGTCGAAGCGTTTTGTGTTGCAGGGGGACGAGATCAACCTCGACCCGGCTGTGGGCTGCTTCATCACCATGAACCCGGGCTACCTAGGCCGCTCCGAGCTTCCAGAGGGCCTGAAGGCGCTCTTCCGGCCCATCACAGTCATGGTTCCAGACTTTCAGCTTATCATCGAGAACATGTTCATGGGAGAGGGCTTCACCGAAGCGCCGGCGCTCGGTCTCAAGTTCGCAACCCTGTATTCGTTGAACAAGGACCTCTTGTCGCAGTCGAAAAAATACGATTGGGGCATGCGCGCCATCAAGAGCGTGCTGGTCGTGGCGGGCTCCTTCAAGCGAGCAGACCCCTCGCTCTCGGAGCAGGCAGTGCTGATGCGGTCTTTGCGGGATACCAATGTTGCCAAGATTGAAGGAGACGATCTGAAAGTGTTTATGGGTTTGTTGCTCGATCTATTTCCTGGAATCGACGTTCCGCGTGCACGTGATTCCGATATGGAAAAAACGTTGATCGAAGTGATGGAGGGTCCCGACTTCGGGTACACGCACGACCCTGAGGAGTATTTGCTACTGAAGATTACACAGCTGATCGAACTTTTGGGAATTCGCCATTGTGTATTCCTGATGGGCAATCCAGGCAGCTTCAAGTCGGCGATGTGGAGGATCCTCAAGCAGGCGAAGACAAAGCGCGGTGAGAAGACGACCACCGTAGATTTCAGTCCAAAGGCCATCAGCACCAACGAGCTGTACGGCTTCGTCAATATGGCTACTCGTGAATGGAAGGACGGTATCATCTCGAAGGTGATGCGCGAGCTGGGACAGATACCAGACACGCACCCGAAGTGGATTTTGCTCGACGGAGACCTAGACGCCAATTGGATCGAGTCGATGAACAGCGTCATGGACGACAACAGGCTGCTCACGCTGCCTTCCAACGAGCGTATCCCGCTGAAGCAGCACATGAAGATGATATTCGAGATCCGCGACCTCAACTACGCGACACCTGCAACTGCCACGCGGGCCGGCATCGTGTGCATGAGCGACGTCGAGGGTGTACAGTGGCGGTCTTACGTTACGAGCTGGATCAAAAAGCAGGAGTACCCCGACCAGATCAAGGAGGCGATCCAGAAGCTGTTCGACAAGTACGGGAAGGACACGCTGCTGTGGATTTTGAAAAACACCAAGATACAGGTTCCCATGGTCGACATCAATATGATTTCTGCCTGCTGCAGCTTCCTGCAAAATCTTATCACGCCCGACAAGTTCGAGGTGCTCGAGTATTGGTTTATTTTCTGCTTCACCTCCGCCGTTGGGTTTTGCTTGTCTGAAGTGGACGGCGTAGATTATAGGAAGGCCTTCAGCAATTGGTGGAAAGGCGAAATGAAGACAATCAAGTACCCGTCCAAGGGCACCATTTTCGAATATTTCGTGAAGGATTCGAAGCTCGAAGAATGGATTACTGCCGTGGAAGAGATCGAGTACAGCAGCGAGACGCCCATGGGCGAGGTCACAGTACCTACCAGCGAGACGGTGGCCATGACCTATTTGATGAAGGCGCTTATCAACACGCATCACCCAATCATGCTCATCGGTCTCGCTGGCTGCGGAAAGACCCAGTCCTGCCTTGGACTTCTAAGGACCCTGCCGCCGACAGAGTTTACCTTCTACGCCATGAACATGAGCTACTACACGGACTCCACGTTGCTGCAGACACTGATGGAAAATCCGCTGGAAAAGAAGGCTGGAAAGCTCTACGCCCCTCCTGGTAAGCTCAACATGGTTTATTTTGTCGACGATCTCAACATGCCTGCTCTGGACAAATACAACACGCAGAGCGCAATCGAGCTGATGAAGGAGAAGCAGGACTATGCTCACTGGTGGGACCGAGCCAAGATCCAGGTAAAGGACATCGGCAATACGCAGTACATGTGCTGCATGAACCCGACCGCCGGCTCGTTTATCGTCAACCCCCGACTCCAGCGGCACTTCTGGACCTGCGCGGTGTCCTTCCCGGAGCAGGCCGCCCTCCGAACCATCTACTCGACTTTCATGAAGGGCCACTTCGAGCGTCTCCCTTTCAAGTCGTCGGTCTCCGATTGCCTATCGAACATCATCGTGGCGGCGCTGCAGTTGCACGCCAACGTGGTGGCTTCCTTCCGGAAGACGGCCGCCAACTTCCACTACGAGTTCAACATCCGGCACATGAGCGGTGTCTTCAACGGCCTCCTCGCGGCCAAGCCGTCAGAGTTCGACAAGGACGAGAAGCTGACCAAGCTGTGGCTGCACGAGAGTGAGCGTGTCTACGGCGACCGGCTGGTGTCCGTGTCGGACCTCAAGAAGTACCGCGCGCTCGCCGCAGACCTCTCCAAGCGCATGTTCGGAAAGTTCAATTTCGCGAAGTACTTCCAGGATAAGAACCCCGATCCTTTGGTCTTCGCGCCCTTCTCCAAGGTTGGGTCGGGCACGTCCGTCTACAGGAGGAAAATTCGAGAATCGTCAAGAATAGCCGGGGGACGATTTTCCGTGCTCCTGGGATTATTTTGATGTTTTAAGCGATTTTTAAAGTTTTCTTCCGAGATCCGCCTCTAGGGGGGCATGCCCGACCTATTTCCAAGGGCATCAGCGAGATGGACGGGGGTGGCACCTACGATCAGATAAACGGCTTCGACAAGCTGAGCGAGCTGCTCATGACCGCCCTCGGCGAGTACAACGAGAACAACGCGGCCATGGACCTCGTGCTGTTCGGCGACGCGCTGTGCCACGTGAGCAAGATTTGCCGGATCATCATGAGCACGCCTGGGCACCCGCTGCTCGTCGGGGTCGGAGGCAGTGGCCGCCAGAGCCTCTCGCGGCTCTCTGCTTACACGTGCCAGTACATAACGATGATGATCGTCATCAGCGGCAACTACGGCATCAACGACCTGAAGACTGACCTCCAGGCAATGTACAACAAGGCTGGCGTGAAGGACGAGGGTGTGATGTTTTTGTTCACCGACGGGCAGATCACCAATGAGAAGTTCCTTGTCTTCATCAACGACCTGCTAGCCTCAGGCGACATTGCCGACCTGTACGCAAGCGACGAGAAGGATGCTATCCGCAACTCGGTGCGCAGCGGCTGCAAGGCTGCTGGCATCACGGACACGCCAGAAAACCTCTGGATGTTCTTCATCGGGAGAATCCGCAAGAACCTCCACATGTCGCTCTGCTTCAGCCCCGTGGGGGACGACATGCGCAACAGAGCGCGAAAGTTCCCCGCGCTGGTGAACTGCACCGTCATCGACTGGTTCCAGCCGTGGCCGATGGACGCGCTGTTTAACGTGGGCCAGAAGATCCTGGCCCCGATCGAGCAGCTTGGACCGGACGACAGCCCAGTGAGGGCGGGGATTGTAGAGTTCTTGCCGTTCAGCTTCGAGTGCTCCGACAAGGAGGCGGCGGTCTTCATGGAGAACGAGAGGCGGTTCGCCTACACGACGCCGAAGAGCTTCCTTGAGCTCATCAAGCTGTACACCACCATGGTGGGACGGAAGGTGGACGCCCTGGAGGATCAGAAGGACCGCCTGACCAACGGCCTGGAGAAGCTGCGGAAGACGCAGTCAGACGTAGCGGGTCTGGAGGAGGAGCTGAAGGTGAAGGCTGTCGTGGTGGCGGAGAAGGCCCAGGCAGCCGACATATTCGCCGAGGAGGTGGGCAGAGAGAAGGCTAACGTGCAGGCCGAGTCCGAGAAGGCCGGCGTGGAGGAGAGAGACTGCGCCAAGATCGCCAAGGACGTGTCCCAGCAGCAGGCCTCTTGCGAGGAGGACCTGGCCAAGGCAGTTCCGCTCGTCAAGGAGGCCGAGGCAGCCCTCGACATCCTCGACAAGAAGGAGTTCCAGGTCCTGAAGACCTTCACGGCGCCCCCCGGAGGCGTCGGGGAGGTGTGCGAAGCTGCGATGCATTTGCAGGCTGGCATCGACCCGAACATCGACGTCGACAAGAAGGGCGTCGTGAAGGATGCATCCTGGAAGGCGGCGGTGAAGATGATGGGCAACCCAGAGAAGTTCCTTCAGAACCTGAAGGAGTATAAATTCCAGATCGACGAGGGCAAGGTTCCTCAGGCCAACATCGAGAAGGCGAGGAAGATCCAGATTGCCCTCGGCGACCAGTTTACCTATGATGCGATGATGAAGAAGTCGAGTGCAGCGGCAGGCCTGTGCGCATTCATTATTAACATCATCATGTACTACGACGTGGTGATCCAAGTGGAACCAAAACGCCAGGCTCTGCGCGAGGCTACCGAGACGCTGAACACAGCCAACACGAGGCTCGCCGAGGTCAAGGCCCTCGTGGCCGAGCTGGAGGCAAAGTTAGCCAAGCTGATGGCCGAGTTCGACAAGGCCATGTCCGAGAAGAACGCGGTGATGGCCGAGGCCCAGAAGTGCCAGACCAAGCTCGACATGGCGCAGCGCCTTGTGGGCGCCCTCAGCGCCAACGGGGTCATCTGGGAGCAGACTGTCGACCGCACGGCTGAGGAGCTCGTGTTCATTCCTGGCGACACGTTGGTTGCATGCTCCTTCGCATCCTACGTCGGCGTGTTTACGCGCTTCTACCGAGAGTCTTGCATCCAAAAGTACGTTGACTTCCTGCGCTCGAAGAGTGTGCCCCTGGGCCCGAAGCCGGACCCTCTCAGCATCCTGGCGACGGACGCGCAAATGGCTGGCTGGGGCTCGCAGGGCCTCCCTTCCGACCGCGTGTCCTGCGAGAACGGTGCCATCGTCACGAACTCGCAGCGGTGGTGCCTCATGATCGATCCGCAGCTGCAAGGCATCGTGTGGATCAAGAAGAAGGAGGAGGACAACCAGTTGCAGATCACCCGCATGGGCCACTCGAAGATGCTCAACACATTCGAGGTTGCCCTCGACCAGGGCAAGTCCGTTCTCATCGAAAACATGGGGCAGACGATCGATGCAGTACTGATGCCCATTGTGTCCCGGAACACCATCAAGCGTGGAAACAAGAAGGTCGTGAAGCTTGGCGACAAGGAGATCATTTTGAAGGACCAGTTCAAACTCTTCATGCAGACGAAGCTGTCGAATCCGCACTACCCGCCAGAGGTCCAGGCGGAGACCACGGTCATCAACTTCACCGTCACCGATGATGGCTTGGAGGACCAGCTCTTGTTCTTGGTCGTCAAGCTGGAGCGGCCTGATCTGGCCAAGAAGAAGACCGCGCTGATCCAGCAGCAGAACGAATTCAAGGTCGCGCTTGCCACCCTCGAGGCGCTGCTGCTCGACAAGCTCGCCAAAGCCGAGGGTGACATATTGGACGACACGGAACTCATCCTCAGTTTGGAGGAGGCAAAGAATACTTCGGACGAGGTCAAGGAGAAGGTCGTCATCGCGGTGGAGACCGAGGCCAAGATCAACGAGACCTCCGAGTTCTACCGTCCAACTGGCATCCGGGGCTCCCTTCTGTTCTTCTTGCTTTGCGACCTGTGCAAGATGCATACATTCTACAAGTACTCACTTGATTCCTTCGTGATGGTGGTAACGCGCGCGGTGAACAGTATTACCTTGCGTAAGCCGAAAGTGACAGAGCCTCCAAAAGAGGAGAAGGAGAAAGGCGAGAACGACGAGGAAGAGGGAGCTGATGAGGAGGAGGTGGAGGAGGATGAAGAGGAAGAACAAGAGAAAGGCGAAGACGAAGAGGACGAAGAGGAGGAGATCATCGACCTTTCGGGGAAGGAGCTGAAGGATCGGGTGCAACTGCTGGAGCGCACCATCACCTACGCTGTCTTCGCCTTCACACGACGAGGCCTTCTTGACGTGGACAAGCTCATCGTCTCCACGATGATGGCGATGAGGATCCTGGTGAGGGGGAAGAAGATCACCCCAGAAGAGTCGGCCATGCTCATCCGCGCGCCGCCCGATCCCAACGCGGGGGTCCTGCCGGACAACGCGAAGACCTGGCTGACGGAGACGCAGTGGGCGCAGCTGAAGTCGCTCGAGGGCATGGAGGCCTTCAAGAAGGGGGGCAAGCTCACGGAGTCGCTGGAGCAGGACTCCCTGGGCTGGAAGCGCTGGTTCGGCGAGGAGCGCCCCGAGACCGCCGACCTCCCCCGCAGCGCCCGCGACCTCTCGCACTTCCACCGGCTCTTCCTCCTGCGGGTGCTGCGCCAGGACAGGATCGCGGAGGCACTGAAGCAGTTCATCATCGACAATCTGGGGCAGGACTACATCGAGCAGGCCCCGTTCGACATGGAGTCCGCGCTGGAGGAGTCCACTTGCATCACGCCGTTCTTCTTCGTGCTGTTCCCTGGCGTCGACCCCACGCCCACCATCGAACAGGTCGGCAAGAAGCTGGGCAAGACAGAGGCCAACGGCATGCTCGTCAACATCTCCATGGGGCAGGGACAGGAGCAGATCGCCTTGAACGCCTTGACCAAGGCCGCCAAAGAGGGCGGCTGGATCATGCTGCAGAACATCCACCTCATGCAGGCGTGGCTGAAGCAGCTGGAGCGCGCGCTGGAGGTAATCGAAGAGTTCTCGCATGAGTCGTTCCGCTGCTTCCTGACTTCGGAGCCGCCGTCAGCATTGCAGGGCCGTCTATGGGAGTTGATCCCCGAACCGATCCTGCAGCGATGCATCAAGGTTGCCGACGAGGCGCCGTCAGACCTGAAGTCTAACCTGCGCAGGGCCTACTCGAAGTTCAGCCAGGAGAACATCGACGCGTGCCTGAAGCCCAAGGAGTTCAAGGCCACGCTGTTCGCCCTGTGCTTCTTCCACTCGCTTATCTCTGGCCGCATCAAGTTCGGGGCACAAGGCTGGTCCAAGAAGTATCCGTTCAACGACGGTGACCTCACGATCTGTGGCCAGGTGCTCAAGAATTACCTGAACAATTCCGAGCATCTCGACACGGACGTGCCGTGGCCAGATCTGCGCTACATCTTCGGCGAGATCATGTACGGAGGCCACATTACTGACCCCTGGGACCGCCGTGTCAACAATACATACCTGCATGTCCTGGTCACTCCAGAGTTGCTGGCGGGCGTCAACCTGTGTCCGAATTTTAAGTCTCCGGATGCAGCGAAGCTGGAGTACCAGCAGTACGCCAAGTACATCGAGGAGCGGTTCCCGCCAGAGGTACCCATGATGTATTGGCTGCATCCGAATGCAGAGATCGGCTTCCTGACCAACCAGGGCATCGGCATCTTCGAAACCATAGCGGGGATTACAGGAGGCGGCGGAGGCGGGGCTGGCACAGACATTACCGAAGCGGGGCCAATCATCACTAGCTACATGACCCAGTTGCCTGGCAACCTGGATATGATCGATATCCGAAGCAGGCTTAAGCCCGAGGACTTCACGCCCTTTGTCATCGTGTCTCTCCAGGAGGCAGACCGCATGAACGTGCTGCTGAGCCACATGCGTTTCTCGATGATCGATCTTGAGAAGGGTATCGGCGGGCTGCAAAACATCACAGAGCATATGGAGGCCCTGGCTGCTGACCTGCAAGCGAACAAGGTGAACGCGCTCTGGGCGGAGAGGGCATATCCTTCGCTGAAGTCGCTGTCCGCGTGGTTCGTCGATTTGCTCGACCGTAACGTCCAGATAGTGGAGTGGACCTCCAAGCTCACCTTGCTCAAGTCGATCTGGCTGAGCGGCCTCTTTAACTCCATGTCGTTCCTCACCTCGAACATGCAGGTGGCCGCGCGCGCCAACAGCTTGCCCCTGGACTACATGCGGAACCGCTGCCGCTTCTACAACACGCGCGACCTAGCCGACATTGCGGGCGTCCCTGCGCAGGGCGTGCACGTCCACGGCCTGTTCATGGAGGGGGCTGGCTGGGAGGACGGCAAGGGGGAAGACGAGGGGTACATCACGGAGAGCAAGATGAAGGAGCTGCACCCGTTGATGCCAATCTGCAACGTCTTTGCGGTGCACATCGACGAGATGAGCTGGGACGCGATGTACCACTGCCCGGTGTTCTCCACCTCGCTGCGCGGGGCCACCTTCATCTTTCAGGCGAACGTCCGCATGGACCCAGACGACTCTGAGACCCGCTGGATCCTGGCGGGCGCGGCGCTGCTCACCCAGGACGACTGAGCAGGCCCTTGGATGTCAGGGGTCCTGGGCTCGAGCAGCCTCGCCCTCAGGTCCCGCCGGCACCGTAGGGCGCGGCGCTTCTTCGGGACGGCTTGCGCCTCCGCACTCACGGTGCAGCATGCTCGAGCAGAAGAATAGAAGGGCGGGGAGGGAGGGAGGGAGGGAGGGAGGGAGAAAGAAGGGCGAGAGGTGCAGGATTAGCAGGAGGGGGGATGAGGAGGGAGGAGGGATGAGGGAGGATGGGGGAGGGGAAGGAGGAGGAGGAGGAGGAGGAGGAGGAGGAGGAGGAGGAGGAGGAGGAGGAAGAGGAGGACGAGGAGGAGGAGGAGGAGGAGGAGGAGGAGGAGGAGGAGGAGGAGGGAGGGGAGGAGGGAGGAGGAGGAGGAGGAGGAGGAGGAAGTGGAGAAGGAAATGGAGGTGATGAAGGGGAAAGGAAGGGCAGGGTCAAGCCCTTTTTCAAGCATTTTTTGCTCTGGCCAGGGCGTCTCGTCTGGCCCGAGTTGTACCATGCTGAGGCTGCCGTGGATGGCAGAAGGGGAGGGTGGAGGGAAGAGGCGACTGCGGAGGCAGGAGGAGGGCAGGAGCTGCAGGTTCTTAGGGAGAGCTCTGCGACTTGAGCGCAATTTTCGCATCCTGGTCCATCGTCGGCGTCACATCTCCACCTCCGTCCTGGTCTTGGCTCTGCAATTGGAGCCCTCAGGCAGTGCCTTTTTTGCCTGCCGCAGCGGCCGCCGTCGCAACCAGTGGACATGCGCGGAGTCAGCCATCCCGGACGTCTTCGTCGCGCAAGTTTTGCGCGATAGGGGCGTGACTCGTGGCGGATTCTCTGGCGCGCTACGGCATTCGGGGGCCTCTCTTTGATATGCCAAAGAGGCAGACAAGGAGCTCACCGTCGAAGCAGTGGGGATTGCATGCGTGGCGCTTCGCTGCAAAAGAGAAGCGGGAGCTTCGACTGGCGGGCGGCGACCTAATGATGATGGTGATGATGGTGACGATGATGGTGATGATGATGCTGATGATGATGATGACGATGATGATGATGATGACGATGTTGACGATGATGACGATGCTGATGCTGACGATGGTAATGCTGATGATGATGCTGATGATGATGATGCTGATGATGATGACGATGCTGATGATGAGGAGGAAGCCGATTATGACGATGATGGTGAATATGGTGAGGATGACATTGAGGATGATGTGATGGCTAGGATGATGATGCTGATGATGATGCTACTGACGGCGATGCTGATGATGATGGTGCTGATGATGCTGATGATGATGACGCTGGTGGTGGTGCTGCTTGTGATTCCTATGCCAGTGATGATGGTTATGGTGATGCTGATGATGCTGATGATGCTGATGATGGTGATGATCCTGATGATAATGCTGATGAGGATTATACTGATGCTGATGATGTTGACGAGGATGATGAGGAGCAGACTGATGATGAGGATGATGCTGATACCGATGATTGTGATGCTGATGATGATGTTGCTGTTGATGATGCTGCTGTTGATGATGCTGATGATGACGGATGCTGATGATGACGATGATGATGAGGAATTTGAGGATGAGGACGACGATGATGGTGAAGATAGTGAGGATGATATTTAGGGTAAGGTGATGGCTAGGATGATGACGATGCTAATTAAGATGAGGATCAGGACGAACATGAATATGACGATGATGACGACGATGATGATGATCATGCTGCCACTGATGTTGGTGCTGCTGCTGATGATGAGGCTGATGATGCTGATGGTGTTGGCGCTGTTGGTGCTGCTGCTGATGATGATGCCGATGCTGATGATGGCGATGATGATGTTGATGATGATGCTGATGATGATGCTGCTACTGATGGTGATGCTGATGATGATGGTGCTGATGTTACTGATGGTGATGACGTTGATGGTGCTGCTGACGATGATGATGATGATGATGATGATGATGATGGTGATGATGATGATGATGATGATGATGATGATGATGATGCCGATGTTGATTATGATGGTGATGATGCTGATGCTGATGATGCTGATGCTGATGCTGATGATGATGATGATGATGATGTTGACGATGATGATGAGGAGGAGACTGATGATGAGGAATCTGATGCTGAGGATGATAATGAGCTCTACGACGATGATGCTGATGATGCTGCTGATGATAGCGATGCTGACAACGCTGGTGGCGATGACGCTGGTGCTGCTTTTGCTGCTGATGCCGATGCCGATGCCGATGCCGATGATGATGCTGATGATGATGCTGATGATGCTGATGCTTATGCTGATGACTATGGTGATGTCGATGGCGATGACGGGGAGGAGGGTGGTGCAGATGGTGATAGTGATTAGGACGACGATGCTGGTGATGATGATGATGATGATGATGATGATGATGATCATGATGATGATGATGATGATGATGATGATGTTGCTGATGAGGCTAGTGGTGATGGTGCCGATACTGATATTGATGATGGTGGTGTTGACTACGGCGATGCTGATGATGATGCTGATGTTGATGATGGCGATGTTGATGCCGATGCTGGTGATGATGCTGCTGGTGTTGATGAAAGAATGACGATGGTGCTGATGATGCGGATGATGATGCTGCTGATGCTGATGATGTTGATGATGCTGCTGATGCTGATGATGATGGCGACGACGATGGCGGCGGCGAGTCCGATGATGATACCATAACGGCAACGATGATGACGATGCTGGTAATTAGGATGATGCTGATGATGATGCGGATGCTGATGCTGATGCTGATGCTGATGGCGAGGATGAAACTGATGATGATGAGGATGAGTGCGAGGATAATGCTTCTGTTGCTGCTGATGGTGATGGTGATGATGGTGATGATGAAATTGATGGTGGTGGTGGCGATGATGATGACGACGATGCTGATGCTGGTGACGATGATGATGATGCTGCTGCTGATGAGACTCATGCTGGTGACGACGATGGCGATGCTGATGATGATGACGATGATCACGATGAGACTGCTGATGGTGATGATGATGCTGCTTACGCTGACGATGGTGATACGTGTTACCATTCCTGTTATCCTTACTGACATTATTTTGATGATGATGCTGATGCTAAAGCTGATGCTGATAATGCTGATGACGCTGCTGATGATTATGCTGACTATGATGATGCTGATGATGATGATGATGATGATGGCCAGGATGAGGATGGGGGTGAGGATGTGGATGATGTGGTTGATGATGGTGATGCTGATGATGATGATGATGATGGTGATGATGATGATGATGACGATGCTGCTGCTGGTGATGGCGATGATGATGACGATGATGATGATGATGAAGCTGTTGATGCTGATGATGCGGGTGATGAAGATGAGGCTGATGATGATGAAGATGATGGTTCTGATGATGCTGATGAAGATGCTGATTGGTGTGATGATGGTGATGACGATGGTGATGATGCTGATGCTGACGATGATGCCTATGCTGATGCTGCTGATGATGATGATGCTGATGATGATGCTGATGCTGATGATGCTGCGGATGATGACGCTGAAGCTGATGCTGATGATGATGCTGATGCTGACGATTATGCTGATGCTGATGATGATGATGGTCATGGTGGCGATGCTGTTGATGATTATCGTGGTCGTGGTGATTACGATCACGATGATGACGATAATGCGGATGATGACGTGGATGATGAGGATGATGACGATGCTGATGATAATGATGATGCTGATGCTGATTATGATGATGCTGATGATGATGATACTGATAATGAATATGATGATGATGATGATGATGCTGATGATGATGATGATGATGATGATGATGATGATGATGATGATGATGATGATGATGATGATGATGATGATGATGATGATGATGATGATGATGATGATGATGATGCTGATGATGGTGGTGGTGGTGGTGGTGGTGATGATGATGCTGCTGCGGAGGAGGAGGAGGAGACGGAGGAGAAGGGTTAGGATGATACTGAGGATGAGGAAGAGGCTGAGAAGCAGGAAGAGGAGGTGGAGGAAGAGGAGGAGTTGGAGAAGGAGGAGGAGGAGGAGGAGGAGGAGAAGGTGGAGGAGAAGGTAAAAGAGAATGAGAAGGAGAAGGAGAAGGAGCAGGAGAAGGAGAAGCAGAAGGAGAAGGAGAAGGGAGAAGAGGCGGAGGAGGAGGAGGAGGAGGAAGAGGAGGAGGAGGAGGAGGAGGAAGAGGAGGAGGAGGAGGAGGAGTAGCATCAGTAGGAGGAGGAGGAGGATGGAAAGAATGAGGAGCTGGAGGAGGGAGAGAGACGATGATGATGATGCTGATGATGAGGATGATGATGAGGATGAGGATGATGCTGATGATGATGATGATGATGATGATGATGATGATGATGATGATGCTACTGATGATGATGATGCTGATGGTGATGGTGCTGATGCTGATGCTGAGGCTGATGCCGATGATTATGATGCTGATGCTGATTCTGATAATGATGATGCTGATGCTGATGATGATGTTGATGATACTGCTGATGATGCTGATGATGCTGCTGATGATGCTGATACTGATGATGATGACGATGATGATGGTGATGATGATTATGATGATGATGATGATGATGACGATGATGCTGATGATGATGATGATTATTATTTATATGATGATGATACTGATGATGACGATGATGATGATGATGGTGATGCTGATTATGATGATGATGATGGTGATGATGATGATGATGATGATGATGATGATGATGATGATGATGATGATGATGATGACGACGATGATGATGATGATGATGATGATGATGATGCTGATTCTGATTATGATGATGATGATGATGATGGTGATGATGATGCTGCTGCTGCTGATGATGATGATGATGATGATGATGATGATGATGATGATGATGATGATGATGATGATGATGATGGTGATCATGATGATGCTTATGAGTAGGAGGAGGAGGAGGAGGAGGAGGAGGAGGAGGAGGAGGAGGAGGAGGTCCAGGAGGAGATAAACAGGCGGATGAGGTGGTGGAGGAGGGAGGAAGTGATGGAGGGTAGAGGGAGGAGGGAGAAGGAGGAGGAGCAGGCGGAGGAGTAGGGGGAGGAGGAGGCGGAGGAGGAGGAGGAGGAGGAGGAGGAGGAGGAGGAGGAGGAGGAGGAGGAGGAGAGGCCCTCCCGCTGCCTCCTCCTGGCTCCTGCTGGCTCCTCCCGCGTTGCCGCATCCCCGCCCCCTCCTTCTGGCCGCCTTCTCGCGGCGAGCATCTATAGCAGGGATTGTCAGTGCTCACCATCGCCAGCTCGGCGGTCTTGAACAACACCTGCGCAGCCCCAAACGACACTTTGGCCTACCTCGATGCGGCCAGACGTGCAAATGTCGCCACTTTGCTGTGCCCCTGGGGGGTCTAGCGGACTGTAGTCATAAGCAGACCCAAGCTAGGCATCGGCCTCCCAGTTGCTGCCATGCACGTAGCTGTCGTCACTTTGCTGCGCCTCAGGGGGGTGCAGCGGAGTGGCGTGCTTCGCAGACCCAGGCTGGACCTCCCCTCCCTAGGTGCTCCCACGCGCGCAACTGTCACCACTTTGCTGCGCCCCCTGGGGGGTCCATCGAAGTGTTGGGCTACGTGGGCCCCATCAGGACGTTACCCTCCGTGGGTGCTCTACGGGTTGAACTGTCGCCACCTCGCTGCGCCCGTGCGGCAAGGTCCAGTGGACTTGCGTGCTACGCAGACCCAGGCTGGACCTCGCCTTCCTCGGGTGCTGCTATGCCTGCAAATGTCGCCGCATTTCCGCGCCCCTGAAAAGTCTAGCGTAGCTGCGTGCTGCGCAGGCCCGAGCTGGACCTCGGCCTCGTTGGGCGCTGACTTGCGTGCAATTGTCGCCACTCTGCTGCGCCACTGGGGGGTCCAGCGGAGTGGCGTGCTGCGCAGCCCAGCCCCAAACGGGGCCTCGCCC